CCCCTTCTCACACCCTTCTCCCTCCCCCCCCCTCCTCCCCTCTTCCCGCCCCACAGACGACGACATTGTCCAGTTCTCTCACCACTCTGCACCGCATTGGTGGGCCAATATGCAGCTGCTGCTCTGCACTGGTACGCTCAGCTCTACGCTCTACCCTCTACGCTCTTCGCGCTATGCTCTACGTCCTACGTTCTCCAAGAAACTTCCTTCTCGTTGTTGGTTTCGGAGAATCGTCACGAATCAACTCGCTATCTCCTCGCTTTTCGCACGTTGGCCCCCCTTGACCTTCTTTCCTCATCTTCCACCTATCCTCGCTGTGTTTGAACTTCCTCCCCTGCCTCCTCTCCTGCCTCCTCTCCTCCCCCTCCTGCCCCCTCTCCTGGCCCTCCCCTGCCCCTCTCATTACGAAAGTTCCTTCTCCCCCCCCCCTGCAGACCTGTGGAAGGACCGGACGTGCTGCACGGGGCGCGTACAAGGACGACCAGGGGTCACGGGAAGACTTCATCAAGAACGGCGGCGCGCGAAACGCGTTCCAGTCGCTGGGCGTGCGCGCTGCTGACGTGGACGAGGCCGCCCGTGGAAGTACGACGTGGTGGTGAACAGTGACCTGCGGCGCGTGGAGATGTGGCTGGAGTTCCCCCACTCCTTCTCCTTCCCCGCAGCCCCTGTCTCCATTGGGTATGGGAATCTCATATTCTTCTGCTAAGCTTGTGTTGTTTGTTCTGAGGGGTAAGGGGCAATTGTTACTCTTGTCCTTCAAAACCCAAGAAGTTTCTGCATGTGTCACAGGGCCATGTCGATTACTCGCGCTCCTACACGCTGATCCGAATCCATCCATCCATCCATCCATCCTAACCCACGTGCAAGCGCACATTCCGTCCTGCGTGCAGGGCGGGGAGCGGGTGCTCATGGAGATCTCCCGCAAGTTCACGCCGCAGGACATCGCCGCCCTGGCCAGCAAGTCCGCCATGCTCATGCACGCCGCGTGGCGCTCGCCGCTCTACGGCATGCAGCTGCTGCTGCCGCAGACCCACGCACTGCTCGAGAGCTGGCGCGACGCCGACACTTTCTTTCAGTCAGTGCCCGATTGGAGCGCCAAGCCAATTGATTTCCGGCACCCTTTCTGCTTCTACTAGTGAGTTGTGCAGTAGCACTTGCAGGAAATGCTATTTTGACTCGACTCAAAGGCACCCCTTCTGCTCCTACCGATGATTTGCGCAGTAGCACTTGCAGGGAATACTATGAGCGCTTGCCCCTTCAAATCCCCTCCTCCAATAGTTCCTCTCTCTTCCAATCCCATTCCCCCGCCCTTTGTATTCCCTCTCTTCTCCATTCGTCCTCTATCCGCCTCTGTAGTGCTATGGCGGCCCCTTTTCCGATTGTCCGCCTCCTTCCTGTCCTTCCTGCGACTAAATCTCTCCTTCTTTGTCCCCGTCCCTCCTCTTCCCTCTCCCCTCTTGCTTCTTCCCTCTTCCCCCCGCAGTGGCCACCTGCCATCCTTCGCCATTCTCAAGCTCCTCCCTGCTCGCACGCCCTCCTCTCTCGACGTCATGTTTTCCCGCGGCATCGACCCGCTCCTCCTGGACCCCTCCAAGTGCCACTCCCACCCCGCCGTGCCCCCCGCTTGGCCCTCCCGGGCTGAGATCGAGGCGTATGCGAGGGACGTGCGGAGGGAGATTTTGGACGCAATGCAGGAGGAGGAGGGGGGGGCGGTGTGCAGTGACGGCGCGGCAGGTGGCCCTAGCAGTGGAGCATGATCGCATGCACATTGAGACCCTCTCCTACATGCAGCTCCAGGCGGACAAGCAGGCATTTCTCGATTCTCCGCACCCAGACTCCCCGCCGGCATCCGATGCGGACCTCCCTTCCCCGTCGTCTATAGCCACTGAGCCCTCCTCTCTCCACCCCAACTCGCCGTTTATTCTCGACTCTCCGCACCCTTCTGCTGCGCACAAGCTCAACTCGGCAGCACTCAGGGAGTCGCTGGCAGGGGATCTGGATGTGCTGATACCAGCGGGGCCGGTGGGCTATGGGGACGGACGTGAGTGGGAGAAGGATGGCTTCGTGTGGGACAACGAGGGGCCTGCGACGGTTTCTTTGGTGCCTCGGGATTTCGTCGTGTCATCCAAGCCTGTTTCGGTTGCACAGTTCCATTCCTTTGTGGACTGAAGGGATACAAAAGGCGGAGCTCTGGGAGGAGGCGGACTGGCGTTCCTGCGGAAGCATGGCCTCACCTGCCCTGCTTCCTGGAGCTTTGTCAAGCGGACAAGGGTGTGAGTGAGGAGGAGGAGGGTACCTGTGATGCTGAGTGATGAGGAGGGGGAGGGAGTGGGAGTGAGAACAGCGTGATGGATGGAGAGGAGGTGGCTGACATGGCAGGGAAGAGGCGGAGTGGCCAGAAAGCAGTGGGTGGGGAGGAAGAGGGAGAATACTGGGTGCACACTCACCTGGGATTGGGCGAGGGTACTGAAGCAAAGGTATGAGGTGGCAGATGCGCCTGTCTGGGTGAGCCTGGCTGAAGCTCAGGCGTTTTGCATGGCAGCGGGGAGTGAGTACAGGGTGATGAGTGAGGCGGAATGGAATCAGATCGTTTCTCAGCCCCCGCCGTTTTCACTGCCTGCTGACACCATGGAATTTGACGACGACGGTGAGGAGAAGGCGGAGGAGACGAAGGGATTGAAGGCAGGCATGAAGCAGGGCACCAATGCATCCGTGTTTATTGGCACGGATTTGGATCTTGCATCTGGCGAAGAGGGTGTGATGACGGAATCGTCTTGCGGAATTGCAGCGGAGTGTGCAAGAGGGTGGCTGGGAGTGGACGAGCTCGCCATTTGAGCCGTTTCCTGGGTTCGTGAAGATGGAGGAGTACCCTGAGTACTCCACTGACTTCTTTGATGGCTGCCACTTTGTTCTCAAAGGGTCTTCGCCAGTCACGCATCCATGTATGGTTCGAGACTCGTTCCGCAACTACTACCAACGCCAATATCCATTTGTCTTCGCCAAGTTTAGGTGCTGCAAGGATCTGGCGAGGAATGTTGTTTGATGGAGTGGTTGGGTGGGAAAACAGGACGACTGGTATGGATGCCCAAAGCTTATTTCACTGTCCTCTTCCCTCACCCTTTCATCCATCTTCCTGCCTCCACTCTTCTCCCTTTCCCCCCTCCCCTCTACACCTCTCTTCGCTCACACTCACATATATTGGGCAATCTCAGATTTGTCGTGCTTACAGTTTTGTCTAGCAGTTTCATGCTTACATTTTTGTTTATCAGCGTGATGCTTACAATTTTGTCTAGCTTGTCGAACAGCTTGAAACTAAACACCTGTCAACCATGCGCCCAAGGCTTCCTGAGTCACATATGGCCACTAGATCCGTGCTCGTTGGGCGTGATGCGAAGGATGTCATGCTCTCACAAACTTGAGCATTTCCATGCAGTTTTTGCCGTACGTTATTGTTTCGAGGGTTAGCCGCTTTGAGAGAATTCACCATCCGAGTCCTCGTCTCGGATCTGCACAGCGTGCAATTGTGTCTGTTGAAATGACTGACGGCATCATGTCGCCATAAAGAGTAGTTGAAGGGTCTCCTAGAAGTGGTGCAGCCACTTCCGCAGGCCTGCAAGATAGAGTTTTCAAAACACGGAATGGCTGGACAACTACACGTGCAGATTGCTTCTCTTACGAGTCGGGATTGCGCGAAGGGTGGATAGAATACTTCAAAAACACCTTGCTGGCGAACAGATTCCGCGTGCCTTTCATCACTTTCTCCAGTGCAAGCTTCGCAATGATCTGCTAATTCCATCTGCAAGGCCTTGGCAGAAAAATGTCGCTGGTTGAAAATCAAGAAGAAAGAATGGCTTTTCCAGCGGGAATTTGTGCCACAGGCAAAACGAAAGTATCCCTACCAGCTCTGGCGCTCTCCATTCAATGATCCGCATAGCAGTGCTTCTTGTTGTATCCCTTTCTGAAAAACTGGCAAATGACGCTCGGGATTCTGGACGGATTCCATAGGTATAACCATTTGTCAATGTAGAACCCTTGACGCGAGAATCCGGCCTAGAGGGCCAGATTGACTTGAAGGTCGTACGTGCGCTTTGCATTGTTTGATGAATTCGCGCATAATTAGAGTTCGACCTTCGTAGTTTTGACGGTGGATCATCTTGTTCATAGTGAATAACCTGCAGAGAGTAGTTTGTTGTCAGAGACGAAAGTCTAGCATCTGAGAACTCGACTCGAGAGCTGGAAGGACGTGAGCTCACAGTCGTCAATGCTTGCTCGGCAGCCCAAGAACGACCTTCATTTTCCGAGAGCACTCTCCTGCCTTCATCCCTTGTTTGAGCTTGAGCCTCTGCATTTTCTTTTCCCCAGAGGATGACCCAAAGGTCATCAACACTTCAAATCAGACGAGTACGCAACTAGTACAGCGGAACAGCTCGGGAATGTTGACTGTACCAACCAACCCTCGAGGCGTGGAAGGCATTCCGTGGTTTCCGTGAAATCACTGTACTAAAGTGTACCCGGAAATGGCTGGAAGTTTAGGTAGATTCTAAAATGGTTTGAGCTTTCAACTATGAAGTTTGCAAAGCTGCTGGAACATTCTGTTGACAGTGCGGTTGTGGAATTTCCATTGCAAACACTTGGACAATAGAGGCTTTAAAAGATTGCACAAGTTTGTCATTTGCAAAAGTGATACTGCTCTCAAAACCACAATAAGCACAAATAGTTGACGAGTCAGGCCAGATGCTGGTATTGCTACGCGAAGTGTACTCAGATCTGCACAACAAAAGTAGAAAATTTCGCAACTGCAAGCGCAACTATTCTCACACATCTAGCACAGGCACTTCCCTCCTAGACTAGCAAGAAGCTACCGCTCCGTCTCTTCCTCCCGCTCTTGTGCTTTCTCTCGTTCGCCCCTGCCTCCCACAAGCTCCATACCCCTTCGCCCCTTCCCAACATGGATGCGCTGGCGGGTTATGGGTCAGACGACGACGTCAGCGACGAAGAGCCCTCGCAGCCATTCCAGTCATCCGCACCTGCCGCGCCAGCTGCCGCTCCAGCAACTTCCGCTGTGCGCGCTACCCCCGTTAAACATGCCACTTCTGTAAGCCAGAACCAGTCTGAGGACAACTTCTCACCAGCCTCGCAGCAGCAGCAGCCAAGGCAGGGCCTAGGCCTGGCCCTGCCGCCCCATCGGCCAAGCGCGGATTTCTCGGATCTCTTCCGCCGCCGCGATTCGCGGGTTCCGCAGCCGGGGCGTCCGCCCCTTCCCCCTGGTCCGCTAGGGAAGCGGAAGTGGAAGACAGCTTATTTGCGCCACCTCCCGCCGCCTCCCGCGCGGCCTTTTCCGCCATAGCAGACGCGACTGCAGGTGCAACGTCAGCAGACGGTGAGCCGTCAGAAAGCCTCACGGACAGTCTCGGTTCTAGTCGGCCGCGGTCAGGGCTGTTCGCTGCCCTCCCGCCCCCAAGACAAACGCCCGGGTCAGCACTTGGGGTGGGATGGGTGTGGGACTCGGAGGATTGGGGACAACGGGAGAAGAGCCTTCGACCACCGTGGGATTTGGGCGAGGAGTAGGCGGAAGGGTGGGTGCAGGAGGGGTGGAGTAAGCGCGCCTGGTGGGGAAAGAAAGTGGTGAAGGTTCAGCTGCCGGTGGGTTCGTCCCTGTTCTCGTTCAGCGGCCAGGGGAGAGAGAGCAGCAGCAGGATCAGGAGGAGCAGGAGGACCAGGAGGAGGAGAGGGGAGGGGAAGGGGAAGGGGGCCAGGCATGGGTCAGGCGCAGCAGCGGCGGATTTTGGGGAGGATTCGGAGTCGGACGAGGAGGAGAGGGCGCGCAAGACTCGTATCCGCGATCGCAACGCAGCAGCAGCAGCTGCAGCCGCAGGGGGCAAGAGAGGCCTGGCGGCGTTCCTGCCAGCGCCCAAGAATTCCCTGGGCATGGGGGGAGCCATGGGGGGATCTGGATCCACGAGGCTGGATCTCACAGGGGGGGGAGAGGGGGAGGGGGAGGGGAAGGAGGGAGGGAGGGGTGCGGGAAGGTGGTGGGGCAGCAGGAGGGAGTGGGAGGGCAGAGGCGAAGACTGGGTTGTGGGTGGGGGCATGGGAGGGCTGGGAGGTGTGGAGGGGTGGGGCCTGCTGCAGGGGTTGCGTATTCTGATTCCGATGAGAGCTCTGATAGTGGTGGTGAGAAGCGCGGTAGGGGAGGGATGGAGGGCGCAGAAGGTTCGGGAGGTGTGGGAGGTGTGGGAGGTGTGGGAGGTGTGGGGCGTGGGAGGGGGTGAAGGTGATGTGGAGGCAGGGAGCGAGGGACGGCTGTACCCACAGGTGCCACAACCAGAGGGGTGTGTCTGCAGGGAGCAGCAGCATACATGGGGCGGTGGGTGCTTACAGTGGTGGGGGGCACTATAACGAGGGGTACGCAGCGTCCGCCACTGCAGCCCCAGCTGAAGGCTACTATAGCCAAAGTAGCCAGAGTTACTATCACCCAGAGCAAGGCCCTGCAGCAGCATCAGCCGCCTATGCAATGCATACCCGGACCCAAGCGCATATGCATACCCTGATGCAAGCGCACATGCACACCCACACGCACATGGGTACGGTTACGGGTACGACAGTGGCACAGGAGCAGCAGTGGAAGGCCAAGCAGTGAACCTAGCAGGACAAGGAGCCGCCATGGGGGACTATGGCGCAGCAGCGCTGGTAGCAGGGGTGGCAGAAGGGGGGGGCGGACTGGCAGGGAGGGGCTAGGGGCAGAGGCGGGCACAGAGGCGCTGGCTCGGATGGCGAGGAGAGAGGGAGGGGGCGGGAGGCGATGGAGGTGGCAGCAGCAGCTGCTAATGTGGTGGAGGTGAAGCAGGCCGACCTGACCAAGGGCAGGGTGCGCCCGGACCAGATGCGCTCCACTGGCATTGCCTTCGGACCCACCTATGCTGTAAGTGTGGCGTTTGGGGTTTCCTGTGGGGGTTCTTGTGGGATTTCTAGGTGGTGTTTTGTAACGTTTCCTGTGTGAGTTTTTCTGAGAGTTCTGCTTTTCTGGGTGGTCGTTTGCTTGTGCGTATGTGGGGTGCTGATCGGCATGAGGGCACATATGGTAAGACATGTGCAAATGTTTGTGTGTGCATGCCATGTGTATGTAGTGTAACAAACATCCCTTCTGTCTGCTCCCTCCCTCCATGCCTGCCTGCCTGCCTGCCTGCCTGCCTTTCTCAGCCGGTGTCGGCTGCGGGCAACAAGCCGTCCAAGGTGCATCGGCGCAAGCACCAGATCGGGTCGTTGTACTTCGACATGCGGCAGAAGGAGACGGAGCTCACAGAGCGACGCGCCAAGGGCATGCTCAGCAAGGCAGAGACCCACGCCAAGTACGGCTGGTGACGACATACTTGCCGCTAACACATGCATGCAGGAGGCGAGCACATGCAGGCATCGGGCATGCTGTCACCTTGCTGCCAACATGTGACAAACTCATGGCTTCTGATCGCCGCCCCTCTGCTGGCTGGCTGTCCTCATCCGTCCACGGCTTCTGGTCTCTGCGCTGTTTTGTTTGCTCCAAACATACCTCCCTGCTGGCCTGTTAGATGCATTGTTGTGAGTTGCACATACCAAATTCCCGAGTAAAGCTTGAGCTAACCACCACCACCATGCATGCAAGAAACACTACGCAGCAGATACCGTAAGGCAACTGCCTGAATGTCTCGTACATTAATTTTCCGACTAGATACCCGTCCTGGCATCAAAGCATAAACGAGGATATGGGGGGGTATACGTGTGTAATAAATTGACAGGTGTTGCAGAAGACTAAGAGCGTGTTCCTACCAGCCTCTTCCCAGGCTATCCTCTTCCCAAAATCGGCCCTCGCCTGATAGCGTGCTCGAAGAACCGTTTGTCTAGCTAGCTCGTTTTAGAATCACATACGTCACGGACAGGGCCTCAGATAGTATTTTAGGCATACTGTGTCAAATGTAACTTAGGTTGTTATTGTAGACTATACTGGATTGCGCCTTAGAGGATACAACACCCTAGTCTATATATCATTGTACACACACATTCTAGTTCATTCATTTTTCTTTATGATATGGTATCATAGTAGGTTAGATCCCCCCCTAGCCCGCTCACGCTTCCGCCCTTACGTTCCTAGCCGGCTCCCTGGCCGTCGCGCTCGTCCCTAGCCGGCCCCCTGGCCGTTCGCGCCATCCCTAGCCGGCCTCCTGGCCGTTCGCGCTCGCCCCTAGCCGCCCCCCTGGTCGTTCGCGCCTGTCCCTAGCCGGTCCCTGGCCATCGCGCTCGTCCCTAGCCGGCCCCCTGGCCGTTGCGCCCGTCTCTAGCTGGCTCCCTGGCCGTCGCCCCCGCTCCTAGCCGGCCCCCTGACCGTCGCGCTCCTAGTGGGCCCCTGACCGTCGCGCCCGTCCCTAGCCGACCTCTGACCGTTCGCGCCCGCCCCTAGCTGGCCCCCTGGCCGTCGCGCTCGCCCCTAGCCGCCCCCTGGCCGTCGCGATCGCTCCTAGCCGGCCCCTGCCCGTCGCGATCGCCCCTAGCCGGCCCCCTGCCCGTCGCGATCGCTCCTAACCGGCCCCCTGATTGTCACGCTCGCCCCTAGCCGCCCCCTGGCCGTTCGCGCTCGTCCTAGCCGGCCCCCTGGCCGTTGAGCCTCCTACCTGCCGCCCCTGGCTGTTTCGCGCCCGCTCCTCGCAGGACCCCTGGCCGTTTGAGCCCGTCCCTAACCGTCGCAGCTGCTTCTAGTCGCCGTCGCGGCTGCTTCCTGCCGTCCCTCGGCCGCCCCTAGTCGTCCCGGCCGCCCCTCGCCGTCGTTGCCCCTGGCCGCCGCCGGCTGTCTCCAGCCGCCTCACGGTCGCTCCTACCCTCGCAGCCGCCCCTCGCCGCCGTCGCGGCTGTCCCTGGCCGCCGTCGCGGCTGTCCCTGGCCGCCGTCGTGGCTGCCCCTGGCTGACGTCGCGGCTGTCCCTGGCCGCCGTCGCGGCCGTGTCTACTTGCCGCCCGCCGGCCGGCCCCTGCATTTGCGCCGTCACCGGCCCGCCGCTCCCTCGGGTTCGGCCTGATCTTCCCGATCAGCACCGCCCTCCGAACCCCCCCCCCCTCCCCCGGTACCGTACTGCATCGCTTTGCACCGCACTGCACCGCTTTGTACCGCACTGCACCGCATTGCACCCTACTGTACCGCACTGCACTACTTTGTACCGCACTGCACCACAGTGCACCGCACTGTCCCGCTCTACACCGCACTGCACAGCACTGCACCGCACTGTCCTACTCTATACTGCCCTCTATTGTCACTCATGGCGGCGGTGCTTTGCTTTGTTGCTGAGGGCCAGCCGATTGAGTTTGATGCGTGGCTTGCTGACCTCTGTCGCCATCTCACTGGTCAGCGGCAGGATGGCCACTCGCTGTCTGTCCATCTTGATGGTACCCTCCCCCGCCCTGACCCCCCCGCTGCCCTCTCTTCTGACCCCTCGTCCGCTGAGCGTGAGTCCCGCTGCAGCCGCTGCCCTTGCTCGCTCTATCTGGCTGTCCTGTAACGCTGTTGCACATCTTGCTATTAGCAATGCCCTCTCGCTGTCCGAGCGACCTCGCTTCAGGTCTATCACCACTGCCCAGGCTTTCCTAGATGCTGTTGTCCAACGCTATTCCACCCCGCCTGCTGCCTCGGTCGGTCGTCTGATCCTCCCCATGCTCTTTCCTGACCTTGCGTCGTTCCCCACTGTCGCCTACCTGGCCGCTCACCTGCGCACCATAGCCGAGACCTGGCGTGCTGCCTGCACCCCCACACAGCTTCTAGCCCACCAGCCGCCCCTCACCTCTACTCTCTACCTGCTAGCCACCCGCCTCCCTGACCGTCTTGCCACTGCCCGTGACCGCTTTCTTAGCGTCCACCCCGCAGACCTTACCCTCCCTGACTTTGTTGACACCCTGTCCGCTATAGAGGCCTGCCACCGCTCTGTCGCTCAGACCAGCGGTACTGTGCCGATCCCTATCTTTCAGGGTTGTGTCCCCGCTCAGTGCACCTTCTCCGATGGTTCTGTTGCTGTGGCTGAGACTGCCGCTGCCCGTACAGGTTCGTCCGGGGAAGGGTCGCCGCCCCAAGGCTGGACGTGGCGACGAGGGTGGGGGTGCGGGTGTAGGTGGTGCTGGAGTTGGGTCACTTAGTGGTGGTGCTGACGCGGGGACCCTGCCAGGTGCAGCCGAGCAGCCGTCTCAGCAGTCGCCGGTGTTGCCGCCGGACCCGCGCCAGCCGCAGCAGCCGCAGCCGCCGCAGCTGCAGCCGTCGCCGCAGCCGCAGCAGTCGCAGCAGCAGCAGAGGCGGACGAGTCGTCTTCCGCCTGGATGGCCCGGCGCTGGTGGCAGCGCTGGATGTGGTGGTGGTGCGCGTGGTGGGCTGCTGAGTGGTGGTTCGGGTGCCGCGCGCTGTTAGTACCTGCTTCAGACCGGTCCTCACCGTGGCTTCGTTTGCGGTAAGATCGGTCATACCTCCGTCCGCTGTTTCCGTCGCCTGGACGACCTCTTTCGTCAGCGTTTCGGCCCGTCGCCCGAGCTCCCTGACTGGCACAGCTTGCTTAGTCGTAGGGTTCAGATTTTTGATTTGGACATGGATGAGATAGTTGCTGCTCTGCATGTGATGTATGCTGATGACTCTAGTGTGCTTCCGTCTTATTACCCCTTGTTGCCTAGTGTAGGTGTGCCTTCCTTAGACTCCCCTGCTGTGTCAGGCGTAGGATCCCCTGCTTTGTTTAGCCTTGGTGCTTCCGTCGCTACTTCGCCTCCGGCCGCCACTGCCACGCTCTCCTTCACCCTCGACTCTGGCGCTTCCCGGTGCTTCTTCTGCGACTCCACCACGTTGACACCGCTTCCTGTCCCTACCGCCGTCTCCCTGGCTGACCCCTCCTCTGGCCCTGTAGTCGCCCGCAGTTCCACCACCCTCCCCTGCCCGGCGGTTCCTTCAGGCTCTCGCACAGGCCTCCACATCCCCTTGTTTCAACGAACCCAGTTGGTGTCGACTGCCTCCAGGACCTTGGCGTCACCACTACGTTCCCTGGTCACGAGCGGTACGCTGTCTGTATCGAGGCCGCCTCTGGTGCCCCCCTTACCATGTTACCCCGTGACCCGGTGTCCGGACTGTTCACACTGGACAATGTGACCCCCCCGGCTGGGACTCCCCTCAGGTGGCTGCGTCTACCCAGGTTGCTGCTGCTTGCTCCTGTCGGTCACTCACCCACCTGACTCTCCTGTGGCACCACCGTCTAGGTCACCCTGCGCTCCCGCGTCAGCGTCACATGTCACAGCACGGTCTCGTCCTAGGCCTCCCTGGGTCGTTCTCTGAGTTTCCCTCCTCCCCTGCCCCACCTTGCACGCCTTGTGTCGAGGGCTGGCTTCGCCGTGCTCTTCACTCCTCCTCTTTTCCCCCTACCGCCGCACCGCTACAGACTCTGCACATGGATGTCTGGGGCCCCGCCCCCGTCCATGGGCCGCGTCGAGAGCGGTACTTCCTAGTGCTTGTCGACGACTACACGCTCTATACCACTGTGTTCCCCCTGGAGCGGAAGGCCGACGTGCCTGACGTTCTTATCCCGTGGCTTATCGCTGCGCGTGTCCGTCGCGGTCTCCCTGTCTTGCGCCTCCACTCCGACCGTGGTGGCGAGTTTGCCTCTGGTGTCCTTGGTCGTTTTTGTCGTGCGGAGGGCATCACCCAGATGTTCACCTTGCCGGGCTCCTCGGAGCAGAATGGGGTCGCTGAGCGCCGTATCGGTTTGGTCATGGAGGTGGCTCGCACCTCCATGTTCCATTCCGGTGCACCCCATTTTCTGTGGCCGTTCGCCGTTTGCTACGCCGCTCACCAGCTTAACCTGTGGCCGCACCCCTAGCAGCCTCAGGTTTCGCTGACCCTCCTTTGGTCTGAGTCACCTGGTGACGCATCTGCGTTCCACGTCTAGGGCTGTCTTGCTCACGTTCGTGCCTCTAGCACGGACAAGCTCACTGCCTGCACCCTTCCCTGTGTCTTCCTCGGCTTCCCCCTTGACGCGTCTGACTGGCACTTCTACCACCCGCCGTTTCACAGGTTCTTTCACTCCCGTGACGTCACCTTTGACAAGTCCGTCTCCTTCTTCCGCTGCTTCCCTCACCGAGGTCCCCCGGTTATCCCCCCCCTGTTCCTAGTCACCCCTTCCCCGGTCGTCACCGCCCCTCCTCCTCCCCCTCCCTGTCCTGCCCCCTCTGGTGTGTCCCACGTCACCCCACTTACGTTGTTTGTACCGGTTGAGGAGTCTACTGACTCTAGTAGTCTTGCGGCGCAGTCCTCGCTGCCTGCCCCTTCTCAGGTGTCCCCTCCTCCGCCGCCTCCGCAGCCGCAGTCGCCACCACTGTCGCAGCCGTCATCACCGCCGCCGCCGTCGCCGCAGCCGTCGTTGCGTCCGCCGCCGCCGCAGCCGTCGCCGCAGCAGTTGGTTGCCTTTGGGGGTGCTGGAGTTGGGGTGGGTACTCGTCCTGGGACTCCTGTTGTGGCTTGTCCCGGCGGGCCTGGGGGTGGTACTGGTGCTCGAGGAGTTTTGAGCTCTGGGGGTGTTTCTTCTGGGGGTACTGGTGTGGAGTGTTCTGGAGGTAGCCGCCTGGCAGCTTGCGGTCCCGGTGTCGGCGTCACACTGCCGTCACAGCAGTCCCCGCCGGGGTCCGCTCTTTGCCTGCTCGGCCTTCCGTCCCCTGACCCCGTGCACGTGC